TGGTCTAACATAATCTTCTCATAAACAAACTAGGGAAATGCAACCTAGATGGAGCTACTATAGGGCGGGTGCAAAACTGGTTGGAAAACCGTTCCCAGAGAGTAGTTATCAGTGGTTCACAGTCATGCTGGAAGAGCATAACTAGTGGAGTCCTGCAGGGATCAGTTCTGGGTCCAGTTCTGTTCTTCATCAATGATTTAGATAATGGCATACAGAGTACACATAAAGTTTGTGGACGATACCAAGCTGGGAAGGGTTGCAAGTGCATAGGAAAGGATAAGATTAAAATTCAAAATGATCTGGACAAACTGGAGAAATGGTCTGAAGTAAATAGAGGAAATTCAATAAGGACAAATGCAAAGAACTTCATTTAGGAAGGAACAATCAGTTACACACATACAAAATGGGAAATGACTGCCTAGGAGTATTGTGGAAAGGGATCTGGGGGTCATAGGGGACCACAAGCTAAATATGAGTCATCAGTGTAATGCTTTTGCAAAAAAAGGATCATTCTGGGATGTATTAGCAGGAGTATTGTAAGCAAGACACGAGAAGTAATTCTTCCACTCTACTGTGCGCTGATTAGGCCTCAACTGGAGTACTGTGTCCAGTTCTGGGTGCCACATTTCAGGAAGGATGTGGACAAATGGGAGAGAATCTAGAGAAGAGCAACAAAAATGATTAAGGTCTAGAAAACATGACCTCTGAGGGAAGACTGAAAAAATTGCGTTTGTTTAGTCTGGAGAAGAGAAGACTGAGAGGGGACATGATAACAGTTTTCAAGTACATAAAAGGTTGTTACAAGGAGGAGAGAGAAAAATTGTTGTTCTTCACCTCTGAGGATAGGACAAGAAGCTATGGGCTTAAATTGCAGCAAGGGCGGTTTAGGTTGGACATTAGGAAAAACTTTCTAACTGTCAGAGTGGTTAAGCACTGGAATAAATTGCCTAGGGAGGTTGTAGAATCTCCATCATTGGGGATTTTTAAGAGCAGGTTGGACAAACACCTGTCAGGGATGGTCTAGATAATACTTAGTCCTGCCTTGAGTGCAGGGGACTGGATTAAATGACCTCTCGAGGTCCCTTCCAGGTCTATGATTCTATGATTCTATGTTTTCAGCTGTGATGGGCATGAATAGTATATGTAAATACAATTAAGAAATATTGTGAAATCTTGAGTTTGAACCTTTGGTTTGGAACCTGAACCCTGTGGAATGATAGAATCAGAGGAAGTAAAGACAGATTAGTCCCATCTGGCCCATCCCTTGGAGACCAGTGTATAGAAGCCACCATGGCAGGCCTTCCGAAAAATTCTACACCTGCAGCCAGTCGCAAAAAACTCCATCAGTAACAAAGCATTAAATGTTTGCATCAGGCTATTAAATAATAATAATAAAACCCCCTTTAACTTAGAGATGCACACATTACTTGTAACAATACTAAAAACAAGGTAAAAATTGCCTGCCTGAATCTTCCGTGAAGAATATTCCTGTGGGCAAAGTGAGAGGCTCAATGAATCTCTGGAAATTTCCAGTTAGGACAGAAAAATAAAAGCAGATGAGTTTCACCTGACTTGGGGGATCTTTTGAAACCAGCGGATGTGGGGCAGGAACCTCCTCGCCGCAATCTCCTCCAACAAGCCCCAAGCACCCGCATTAGCTCTAGTCCTCTGCCAGGCAAAGTCCCCCTGGCCTCAGGTTCTGGAATTCCCTGGGCAGCCTGTTAGCCCACCACCTTTATTGCCACCTTGGAAAGAAAGGCCTACCAATGGGCCCATGCCACCAAAATCCCTCCTGCGCCATTTCCTAAGAACTGAGGACTGCCCATTGGGGATTTCCCTGCATCCCCATGAACTCTGGAGGGACACTTAGCCCAGAGTTTAAGGAATGGTAGTAGAGAAGTAACTGTGGAGGAATTTCCTGGTCTCACTGCTACAGAAAGCAGTGGTGAGTGACTGCTTCCTCCTCCAGAAGACGCTGCAGAGTAAAATTAAGTAGAGGGGGTTTGCCAGCTGTCTGCAGAAGAGCCAGATGGTGGAACCAACTGCAGGATAAGATGGCTGAAGGTAAGAAAGGAGAACAGCATGTTCTGAGAAGGCCGTGAGGGAGTTTAGTGGGTTTTGTGACACAGCCTGTGGAATCTGCTGTGGTTTCTCTCTGGATTTCATTTTTAGTTCTGGAGGCCATCTGAACTCAAATGTCAGAAGAAAACCCAAGTGTTGCTGAACCACCAAGCTGAACATGCCAGAACCATTCACTAAAATGCACAAGCACCAAGATCATTGGCTTTCACCCAGCCCCTTTCTAACCATCAGTAGATTTTAAAATTGTATTAATGAAGTCACTTAAACAAGTTGTGGTCTGAAACCAATGTAAATTTATCTCCCTACAGATACACAACACCTAGTCATTGTTTCTCTACCATAATATTGACTATCTCCCGGGGAAGCAATATCTGTGTTAAGTTCATTATGGGGTGTAGGTCCATAAGACAATTTATTTGATTTAACCTTGCACCCAGCACTAAATTCACCAGGAATTTCAGGGCAGATGAACCCGACGTTTGGCAAAGTGGTTTTGTGGCCATTTCGCAAATGATATATGGCTTATGAATCATTAATCTGGTAAACTGGGGGGTGAAATGTGCATGCACAATTTGCATGAAAGCCAGTGGGAACTGTAACACACTCATTCAAGGAGGGCACTGACTGTGTCTGCCTTCTTATTGCCTAACCAATAAGGGGGCCCTATGCTCCTGCTTCAGACCTGGTGTAATAAGAACTTTGGGACCTGACTTGATGGCCATAAGGAGGAAATGATAAAACCGTGTTTAATTTTGTTGGGATTTCATATGAGTTGCTTGGTGATACTTCTCCTGTAGTTGATTATTGTGATGTTTGGCTGAGGAACTTCACTAATGTTTATTCCAGGAACTTAGACTCCAAATTCCTGGTGTAACTAACCCCCCTAGGGGAGCGCCTAGCTGAGCTAACCCTTGATTGCCTGCAATAACCTTGAGGCTCAAGCCTCCAGGTGGACAATGGTGAGGCTGAAGAGAGTGGTGGGTCTACACAGGGCCCTTATCAGGAGCCAGTCTGGAAATCCTTTGTGTAGACAGAGCCTAGCTATTTCTCTCAGTGTTGTGAACAGGTGTAGTCTCTAGCATTCCCTTCCAGAATGAGTAGATTATGTTAGGCCCCATGCTAGCAGAACAACAGGTCTAAATAGGAGAGGGAATACACTGATTCCAGTTTTATAAGGACAAATACAATTCCAATATTTTAGATAATGCAGAAACATTTATTAACATCATGTCAGAGTTACTAAGAAGGAACAATGATAATACATCAGATCAAGGACTATGTGGCTAAAAATAGAGTGTCATAGAGCAATAGAGATGAGAGAAAAGAGGGAGGGAAGGAAAGAGAATGTAAACTGCAGTGGTGTAGTCACATTGTTTGGTCATGTAATGAAACCCAGCCCTTAAAATTATTATACCAGAATAGTAAGGCAGATTGCTGCAGACAAACAGATGGTACCAGAAAGAAATTCACTTCTGAGAGATGCTTATCCATGCTGTACTAGACTAGCAGTTGACACCAGAGGTTGGGTCACTGATTAGCCTGGAGATGTATCTGATTCTTTGTAGCTATCAACAAATTAAGTTAATTCATGATGTAATTCCCTTGACTTCAAGGATGAATCTGACCCATGGTCTGCAAGTGGAGTCAATAAAGGTTCCGCAGAATGACAATGGAAAACTTCATGGCAGAACTTCAAAGGTCCCTTCCAGCCCTCCTTGATGCACACTCAGACGAGTGACCCATATTCACACTCTACATGGTGGTCTGGTCTTTTGTTCCCCATGTTTTTGGCATTTAATAATTTTTGCTGCTGGCTCCCCTGGTCATTTTGTGATGTGCAGCTGCGGAAATGTGGTTTCTGAGTTTGATCTGCAGCAGCTAGCGTGGAGGGTGGCCCTGGGCTTTTCAGCCTCTTGGGAGGCTCACCAAATACCAGAGTAGCAAACTGAGTAGAGTAGCTGTCTGCTGCTACGGCTTCTTTGTGTCTGCCCCTCAGTATTGTATTATGTGCTGTATGGAAAACGCCACAGCATAGGTAACCCTAAATGTCACAGAAATATGTGAATAGGGTTAATGATGTGTTAGTAAGTTTAAAAGCATGATGTCAAACTGCTCCCGCAAATTCACAAATAGAAAAGTACACCTCTACCTCAATATAACGCTGTCCTCAGGAGCCAAAAAAATCTTACCACGTTATAGGTGAAACCGCGTTATATCGAACTTGCTTTGATCCACCAGAGTTCACAGCCCCACCCCCCCGGGAGCACTGCTTTACTGCGTTATATCTGAATTTGTGTTATATCGGGTCATGTTATATTGAGGTAGCGGTGTAAATGGATTTGTTCTCACTACAATGGGAGTTTGCCTGGCAGAGCCAGATCATTCCTCTACCTGGAAATAACCTGCCAATGGGAAGGGAATCAATATGAGATTCTCCTCACAGTGCTCCCTCTCAGTTCTTCTCTGAAGGACAGTCAGAGGTGGAGATTGCCCTGGTGCAGAAGAAACCAGGGATCTGGACCCCGTGTGGTTCTGTCCCAACTCCCTGACAGCATGGCTCCAATTGTGTTTTCATGGGGGAGGGAGAAATGCCCATCTCCCCTAAGACAAACCCACCCACTCCCTGCCCCTGACTGCTCAGATTCCCAGACCCTGCACTGGGGGTGAGGGAATGCTGTGGCAGCTCATGGGGTCCTCATAGAGTTAAACTTGAGTCATCTAAAGGTTACTTTATTTTCTTTCCTATTGCTCCACTTCCTCTATTTTCTAAAGATAAATAAGTATGAAATGAAAGCCTGCAACTCTGCTGGGAATTTGTGCAGCTTGTTTATTCTGTGAAAATACATCATGTTATCTAAGTTTGGTCCACTTATTAAAAGCAGCAGCTTTCCTATATAAACATCTTTCAAGTAAACTAGCTGGGGCTTTGGGGAACAGAGCTCCAGAACACAGAGGACTTGCTCAGAAATTTGAGGATGAACCTTATTCCACTGTCAGCCCTTTTAGCATTTTTCTATAGCTTTGCACTATGTAAACCTGTCCAGGTGTGTTCATGCTGCCATGGCCGTTTAGACTTTGCATCTCTGCAGATCGACCTGTCTGTCCAAAAATAAGTTATAATATTTCAGCGTAGCCCAGAGTTTGTTGTGATTCTACCTAATGATAGTTTTCTTTTGATGATGTGAACATACTAAAAGATTTCCTTTCCTTTTGCAGGTAGCCACAAGAAATAATGAAATGGGTGAGTTTGATTTTAACTATTCTATAGCTACTCGGGGTTCTTATGGATAAGGCTGTCCTTTTTATTCCATACACTTAAATACTTCAGGCCTGATTTTCCACTCTGTTATACAAGGCTTATACTAGCATAACTGCTATCACTTCAAAAGAGCTACCTCTGATTTACAGTGCTGTAACTGGGAGGGGAATAGGGCACATAGCTAAAATTTTCAGACCTGGATGCTTTCTAAATCCATATTTAGGCCCCTAAATATAAGTGATTATGGAGATTTTCCAAGGTGATGAATCACACTTGCAGAGCCTGTCGACTTCCATGGGAGCTGGAGTTGCTCAGGACCTCTGCAGGTTAGGCTACTACTATAATTTCAATTTTAGGGACTCAGAGCTTGAAAATTTTGGCCATAATTTTTTATCACTTCAAAAATAATCCTCTGTGTCAGTACCTAATGGTGGGCCCTGGAAAACGAATCCAATTGTCTCTTTGAAACTCACATTAACTTGATGATTTATGTTGGTATGATAAGGAAATCAAGCAGGGTTACTGAATACAGGGCCGGCTTCAGGGTTTTTGCCGCCCCAAGCGGCGGAAAAAAAAAAAAGCCGCGATTGCGATCAGCAGCAGCTCCACAGCGCCGCTTTCTTCTTCGGCGGCAAGTCCTTCCCTCCGAGAGGGACAGGGACCCTCCACCGAATTGCCACCAAAGAGCCCGACGTGCCGCCCCTTCCCCTTGGCCACCCCAAGCATCTGCTTGCTCAGCTGGTGCCTGGAGCCGGCCCTGACTGAATAATTACCCCAAGGAATGCTATTTTGCCAATGAATACGACCAGTAAAAGAAGAAAGCAGAATCTCTTCACCCTTTCTATATAAGTGATCCCCATCCTGGCTGTCTGACGCTGGGCCAGATTCAGTCTTGATGTAAGCAAGCTCAGCTCTCTTCAACATCAGTGGTAGATATGTCTGCTTATGCCAGAGCTGAATGTAGTCATTTGTCTCTACCTTCTCCTCTGGCCACTCTCCACACTTGGGGGTCACTCATTCACCTGTGCTGTCCCTTTTTCTTTCCTGTGTGACATTGTCACTTCTTTGTCTGCACACACAAAACTACACGTATATTTGGCGCAATAATCGATACTTACTGCCCATGAAAAACACAGGATGGGAATAGCAGTGGAGATTTGGAAGTCAGAACTGGGGGGCATATTATGATGTCATGTAATACTTCACAAGTTAACCCGGAGACTAATTAGGGGCACACACTGAATAATCCCCTTAGAGACAGTAATGGCTCTTGGACAGTTTAGCAGATCTTTCTGGATGCCAGTTAAGACTTTTCTTTCATTCTGCAAGTCTCAATGAAGGAGAGCAATGCCTTACATGTCTAAAACACTTTCCATGCTGAAGGATCCCAAAGCTCCTTTAGCAAATGTATACACTGTAATTCACATGACAGAATGTCAGCGATTAAAAGTGTGCAATGGCCTATAGGTTATCATATTTTCTTCACTGGAAGTCAGCACATCAAGGTTTATTTTAAGAACGGCCATACTGGGTCAGATCAAAGGTCTATCTAGCCCAGTATCCTGTCTTCTGACAGTGGCCAATGCCAAGTACTTCAGAGGGAATGAACAGAACAGGTAATCAAGTGATCCATCCCCTGTCATCCATTCCCAGCTTCTGGCAAACAGAGGCTAGGGACACCATCCCTGTCCATCTTGGCTAATATCCATTGATTGACCTATCCTCCACAAACTTATCTAGTTCTTTTTTGAACCCTGTTATAATCTTGGCCTTCAAAACATCCTCTGGCAAGGAGTTTCACAGGTTGACTGTGCGTTGTGTGAAAAAAATACTTCCTTTTGTTTGTTTTAAACCTGCTGCCTATTTTCCACACAAACATATTTACTAATCCTTTTGTAGATTATTAGAAATAACTTCTCACTCAGGACATTTTCTAAGACAAAATGGGCAGGACACTGAAACTCATTGGGAGTTGGCTGCCAAATTCCCATTTGTGCCTTTGAAAAATCACCCCGTTTCCCATGTCTAGTAGGTTCTTTATTCTCTTTTTCTGCCTAGAGAGCGATACAACTCTGCATGAGGGTGACATTGTCTTGAGAAGGAAACGCAGTGCCATAAACTGTGACAGCAGCTGCTTCTGGCCCAAATCCCATGATGGGCTAGTCAACGTCCCAGTTAATATTTCTACAGAGTTTTGTAAGTCACGTGTAAATGTACCTGTGAAATTAGAATGGATTTTAACACCAAATTATGAGGATTATTTCACGGCGGTATCTCTGTATCATGTGTCAAAAGTGATTTTAACCCAAGGCAGCCTTTATGATGATTACCCTTCCCATCAGCTGCTCTTAGGACAGTTGGCTAAAATAGTATATAATTTAGTAAAATGGATATTTAAAGGTGTGGTTAATTGACAGTATTTAGTTACATAAATACCAATGGATTCATACATACTAGTCTATATTTACTGACATTTAACAGCTATGGACCAAATAACATGTCTAATCTGTTACTTCAGTGAATATATTTGTATTAATATATTATTACTTTTAGTAATAAATATTTTGTCCTCACACACTAGTTTTTATGGAAGCATCTCAGAAAGAGCCATACCAACAGTAAGGCCTGATTGTCCTCTCCCATGGGAAATGGTGAAGAGGAAAAGACAAAGGAAATCTCCATGAGGTTTTCCCTGGAGAGATTTCTTCCTAATTGTTTTGCTGGGGTCAGTGGATCGGTGGTCAGTCAGTGGATTTGTGGAATAGGCTGCAGAATTGGTGCCTTAACCTGGAAGATCTCTATAGAAGCCCTGTCTTCATATGAGCTCTGTGCCACTTTCACCACCCTGCTTCCTTGCAGATTGATTCCTTTGGAGCAGCACTGCCCGGTCTGCAACCATCAGTGACTTCCCTGGAGACCCCTCCTAAAGAGTTATTCTCACTTTCAGGGGAAGAGGCATGGACATTTAACACAGCCTGGGTCTGGGTTAACTTTTCATGGGAATCACTGTGGTGCCATTTGGGGGCAGGTGGACAATGTGGGTCCACCTATCCATACAACTGTCCCGCTCATTCCTCATCCCTTTCTTATTTGCATATCCCTGGACCTGCAGAACCCCCTCTTGAGGCAAGGGGCAATGGGGTACACTGATGCAGAGGCATGACTGTGCCCAGTAATTAATTCAGTTTTACAACATCCCTGTGGCTAGGGGATTATTTACTGTAATGTTACAGATGGGGAAACTGAGGCACAACATTGTTGTGGGACAAATTTTGAAAAGTGGGTTGTAATTGAGGGGGCCGACCTAAGCCAAAAGTTTCAAATATAGTCAAGCACTTAAAGGCATGTTTAGGCACTGAATAAAAATGCTCTGATTTTCATGAGTGCTGAACACCTGCTGCTTCATGTGACTTCAGTGGGAGCTGCAGGTGTTCAGTATCTGTGATAAACAAGCCGCTTTTATTTAGCTGCCTAAATGTAGTCAGCTGTCTAACTTTACACATCCCAGACTGACTATTTTGGCATTAAACTCTCTGTTTTAGTTTCTCCTTCTGTCTAATGGAGATAATAATACGGACCTACCTACCTTTTATTGCCTGTATAGTAGTTTCATAGTGCAAGGCAATGTACATAAGGGATAAGTATAATTATTATTACTACCCTAATCACTTTGAAGATCCCTTAACCCTCCGTACTCTTATCCAATTTGACTTCTGTGATAGGAAAATAACTAGGTGCAGAGATTTAGTGGAGTGGACTGCCACATAATAATCAAAATACCATTGTTACGTATTCCCCCTTTTCTTCCTAGCTGTGGAAGAGAGGACTTGGATTGCTGAAGCAATGCAGGAGGTCACAACCCTGACTTGTGTCCAGTTTATAAATCGCACAACAGAAACCAACTACATAAGCGTTGTACCTGGGGAGAGGTCAGTTCCATCAGTCCTAATTGTGACTAGAAGCATATTCTTCAGTTTTCTGTCTTTCCTGCTTAACCTGGATTTAAATAGTCCCAGCTGGTAGCAAACTCCAGGAGCCTGTGATTAAGAGAGTGAGTTGTCAGAGCTCATACAATTTTTCATTTTTCTCTTTTTGTTGATATTTTTGGTTGATTACGTTGCTTTTCAGCTATGGGACTATAGCTTGTTGCACGTGACATCTTTGGTTATTGGTTGCATGTTCCTTTCAGCTGCTGGTCTCACTTTGGAAAGATTGGAGGTATGCAGAAGGTGGGCCTGATGAAAACCGGCTGCATGAGTAAAGGAGCAATTCAACATGAAATGAACCATGCGCTGGGTTTTTTACATGAACAGGCCCGGAGTGACCGGGACAACTATGTTAAGATCATGTGGGAATACGTTATGGCAGGTATGTCCAAGGGAGTGGTGTGTGGTGTTGATGGTGATAGTAATAGTGCTTATCCTAATTCTTTACATCTTTAAAATGTTTACCAAACATTACATAATGAGGGATGGGACTGGGGAACAGAATACCAAATAGTGACAAATTACTTCAGCAAATGTATTTGATTCTTCCTTCTCAGACACATTGAAATATATGTGCTTTCCCTGTGAGTGGGACGTGAGCATGTTTGCTCCACCAGACCCTAAAACAGTTTGCAGCACAAATTTTCAGCCATTCCCACATTATCCTGAGTAAATTTCAATTGTATTATCTTGTGCTTAGACATCACAGGTGGTTTCTTGCAAGATATTATAATTATTTGTTATTTATATAATGCCATAGGGTTCTGTGGTGCTTTTCAATGAAGTATAAAGAGGAGACCCCTAAGAGAAGGGGCTAAAAATTCAAAGTTTTACCAAAGGTAGTGGACTTGGTTCTGATCTAATTCATACCCATTTTACAGTGGTGCAACCCCACTGACTCAAATGTAGTTACTCCCAATTTACACCAATGTAAATGAGATCAGAATCGGGGCTCATAATGAGAGGACAACCCACCTGGATGCTGTGAGGACAAGGCTAACGAAAAGAAGGGATTTAGCCCTGGAGTTTCCCCAGAGACCGTGAGAGATTAAAGCAGGTGGCTTCACAGGTCTTTATAGTTATTACTTATTTTTATGATGCCAAGAAGAGTAAAAATAAAAAGACAAAGAAGGAGTTACTATGCAGTGTCGGTGTAGTCGTATCAGTCCCAGGATATTAGAGAGACAAGATGGGTGCAGTAATATCTTTTATGGGACCAACTTCTGTTGGTGAGAGAGAGAAGCTTTTGAGCCACATACCCTTCTCAGACCTGAAAAAGAGCTCTGAAGAAGGCTCTATCCTTTTCCCATGGATGTCAAAGGCAGAATTCCCATTGACTTTAGTAGTGCAGGATCATGCCCTGAGATCTTTTGCAATTTCCCAGCTCGTCCACCTACTATTTTTTCCCAGGGTTTTTTTTTTTAAATAATAAACAACCCTACAGTTCACCTTGGAAGTTTTCCCATTTCTTTGCTTTGACAACATATTGCCTGCTGTTTTGTTGCAGTCCACTTAGATCCTTGAAACTTGGCTTATTTTTCTCAGGTTTTTTTTAATACAAGATACTGTTCTGCTCCTTAGGCCAGAACTTCTATTCTAGCTCTTTCTCCTTGCTTATAGTGTTTAGGTTCTGGGGCCCCAATTCAGCAAAGCACTTCAGCATATGCTTAACTTTAATCACACGGTTAAATGCATTGCTGAACACAGATGGACTTAAGCATGTTTCTGGATAAGCACATGCTTAAATGTTTTACTGAGCTGGCGCATAGGTAGTCTTTTCCCTCTGTCCATAAGACTCCCCAAATGATATGTTATTGTTTACATTTGTTTGCCTCATCAGTCAGCTAAAAAGCATCTGTTATACCCTTTTTTTTTTTTTTAATTTTTCTCTGTAAATGTTGGTGGGCGACTCGGAGCAGTTTATCATGAGAGGAAGGATGATCTTGTGCTTGACGAGATCTGGGTTTTATTCCTGGCTCTGCCACTGACTACCTGTGTGACCTTGAACAAGTCACTTAGGCCAAAATATTTACATTTGGGTGCCGGCAGTCAGGCATTGAAACCTGCATTTAGGCACCTGAACAAGAGTCCTTATTGTAAAAGGTGCTGAACACCTTCAGCTCTCTGAAGTGAATATAAGATGAAGGAATGTGGTAAACTTTATAATTTAAGAGAAAATTTTGGCTGTAGCTATTCTGTGCCTCAGTTATCCCAACTGTAAAATGGAATTGTACTAACTTAACTCACAGGGGACTTGATTAAGAAAATTAATGTGTGTAAAGGTGTTTTGAGATCCATGGATGGAGGGTGCTAGAGAAAGGCAAAGGATTTATTGCTTACATGGTTTTGACATTTCTATATAAACAACTGATGCTGAGGCCCTTTCATATCTGCTGGTTAATAAAAGAGAACAGCATAGAGAGGGGAAAATCACAGTAAACTGTGGCAGCTTTTCACTCCCCTCCTCTTGGCTATAAATGGGGCAAATGGAAATTATCATGAAACTATACATTGGCCTGGTGGAATCAATACTGATAAGAACCAACCTGAACCTTTCCCCAAATCTCCAATCAGTTTTTTGAGATATGAAAAAGTTCAGTTAATTTTTGGATTTTCCCTGCATTTCATAGTCCTGGATTGGCCCAGGAGTGAAAGCGCTAAATGAAGAGACTGGTTTTTCCTTCAAGCTCTCTGGCCCAGTTTTGCAGACTCAGATAGCTGGGATGAATTTCCAATAAGCATTCAATGTGGGGGACTTATCCAAATGGTTCCTGCTTTGCCAGCCACTAGTAACAATAACAGAGAAACTCATGTCAAAGGGTGAAGGACAAAGGAAGGATGGCCCAGTGGTTTTGGCACTAAGCCTAGGATTTAGGAGACCTCCCTGCTCTGCCTCAGACTTTCTGTGCGACCTTGTCAAGTCACTTAGTCTTTCTATGCCTTAATTCCTTATGTGTAAAATGGGAATAAGAGCATTTTCCTACCTCCCAGGGCTGTGGTGAGGATAAATACATTACAGGTTGTGAAGGTCTCAGATATTACAGTAATGGGTAGGGGGGTAAAAGTATCTTAGATAGAAGGAACATTTTTACTAGGATCCTATTCTGTGCTGTTATGTTGGCTATAGGCAGGTTGGGAGTGAAGTCAATGGGAATTTGCCTGAGTAAGGACTGAGCAAAACCTGAATAAAGATCTTGGTGTTTGGCCCTTAAGAGGTATACTTTGGTACAACTCCATGGCAAACCCTCTCCCTTCTTCTGCAGTTCTAAGGCTCCTTTGGCAATGGCCAAGTGCATTGCTGTTGCACAAGGAGGAAAGTCAAGGTTTTGCAGAGCAGCACCTTAGCTATCTCTGCACACATCTTCCCAGTGCTCAGCCTAGCTAGTCAGCCACATTTTCCTCTCAGGGCATAGATACAACTATGGGTACAAACTCTGCTCTTGCATGCACAGGTGCAGTTCCTGTTGAAGTCACTGACATTCAGATGCCAGTGAAGCGTACCATAGACACTCCTAAGACAGACAAGTGCATGCGCATCACAGGGTGGAATTGGGACCATAGTTCATGTGGATCAAATTCTGAAGTCCTTACTTGGCTTTTAGGACTGGAGCCAAAACCCTCTGAAGTTGATGGAAAGACTCATATGGGCTTAGGTGGGCTTTGTGTCAGGCCCATGCTCAGGACAATCTCCAGTGGGAATAAATATATTTTAAGTATTCTAACAGCTCTGTGAGGACTGCAGTAACACTTTAATATTTTTTTTCTGGTCTTGATCCTGTCTTGGTGGTTGAAATGTTGCTTTCATACCTTACAGGGCAACAAGGGAACTTTAGGAAAGTGAATTCCAATAACCTGGGTCTTCCCTACGACTATTCCTCAGTGATGCACTATGGCTTGTAAGTTGGAGTCTGGGGCTTCCTTTCATAGATGCGAGTGGGGCTCTAATCTCCTATTCAAACTTAGGAGACAGAATTGCTCTTTCTAGGGCATGGCTATTGCTATTCACTTAAGGTATGTCTATACTCCAAGCCGAAGGTGTAAATTCCAGCTTGAGGAGACATACCCGCGCTAGCTACAATCAAGCTAGCGCACTAAAAATAATAATAATAAAAAAAAAGTATAGCCATGGTGGCATGAGCTACAAGAGGAGCTATCCGCCCTGAGCACAATCCTGTCTGAGACTCCAGACACGTACTTGGGTGGTTAGCTCTCCTGCTGCCACAACTACACTAATTTTAGTGCACTAGTTTGATCACGTGATACGTCTCCTCAAGCTGGAGTTTATACCTCCAGCCTGAAGTGTAGACATACCCTTAGAAATGCGGGAACACTTATGACGAAGGGAATCTATTCCTACTGTCTGACTTAGCCCTGGCAAAGGTAAAGAGGGATGGGGCTGGAAGAGAAAGACCGTGGAGTAACAGGTTTCAGAGTAGCAGCCGTGTTAGTCTGTATCCGCAAAAAGAACAGGAGTACTTGTGGCACCTTAGAGACTAACACATTTATTTGAGCATAAGCTTTCGTGGGCTACAGCCCACTTCATCGGATGCATGGACTGGAACATATAGCAAGAAGATATATATACATACAGAGAACATGAAAAGGTGGGAGTAGCCATACCAACTGTAAGAGGCCAATCAATTGAGATAAGCTATCATCAGCAGGAGAGAGAAAAAACCTTTGAAGTGATAATCGAGATGACCCATAGAAGGTGTGAAGATATATTAACATGGGGAAATAGATTCAATTAGTGTAATGACCCAACCATTTCCAGTCTCTGTTCAAACCTAAGTTAATTGTATCTAATTTGCATATTAATTCAAGTTCAGCAGTCTCTCTTTGGAGTCTGTTTTTGAAGTTTTTTTGTTGCAAAATTGCCACCTTTAAATCTGTTACTGAATGGCCAGAGAGGTTGAAGTGTTCTCCTACTGGTTTTTGAATGTTATGATTCCTGATGTCAGATTTGTGTCCATTTATTCTTTTGCGTAGAATACAAAAACAGACTTTTATTTATTTATTTATTTAGCCCTTAACACAGAAGCCTGTAGGAGGCACCTTGCCCCACATTTGCACTAATGGGCAGCAAATTTCTGAGCATTTTCCCAAAGCAAACCAGTAATTAAGATAAATAAATCCTGTCTAGCTGGAGGCAAGAGACAGCAAGTAGCAGTTTCAAATATTCAAAGAATCAGGAGCTCAGACAGCAACCTTGCTCTTCAGAGCATTCTGGTTGGGACACAGAGTTCATTCTAATGAAAGGTTTGGAAGGAATCATCCCCCAAACAATACATTCTCCCCTTGTTTTTTCATTTCAGTGTTGCTGGACACAAAGCTGCTTCCTCAGTGTTCTTCCAGAGATATCTGTGAAGGCTCTTTGCTTGCCCTTTCCTAGTTAGTTAATCTCTTCAGAATCTTAGACAAATGTTACTTAGAATATTTCCCACAATAATACAAATGCATCACTTAAAGTGGGATTTGAATTAGACACATGATTTCCCCTGCTTCTGCAGATATGACTTCTCTAACACCTCTGGGAAAGCAACTATTGTACCGATTCCTGATCCCTCTGTACCCATCGGACAGAGAGAGGGACTGAGTCATCTCGACGTGGCTAAAATCAACAAGCTCTATAGCTGCAGTAAGTGCTCCAAACACTATGTACTTAATTAAGAAACTTTATGATAGCTGCTAATTTCCTTCTAGCTTATTTTACTAGCTCCATTATTTTGCTTACAGTTATTTAATGCATTTAGTAGATGAGCATTGACACATTTGTGAACATGCCAATTAATTTCTCTTTTATAAATTTGACTGCCGTTAATGGATGGAGATAGCTGTGACTGGATTTTCCCTTGAAGAGGATTTCTCTGCATCTTTCATTTTCTTTACAACTGTTTTCTTTTGTTCTTCAGATTGCTGTAGCAATGTGCTGCATAAACCTAGTGACACCTTCTCTTCTGTCAATTACCCATCCTTATATCCAGACAACAGCAACTGTCTGTGGCTCATTCGCATCCCACAGCATCAGGTGATTTTTGTTAGGAAAAAGGAGGTTTGAATAGGTGTTAATAATACATGGCATTATTTATCAGATTTTTAATGTCATAATTTTAATAATATTATATATTAAATATTATTTAACTGTGTCAGTGATTAACCATAGGAACAAACTACAAGGGAAGTGGTGGATTCTCCATCTCTTGATGTTTTTATATCAAGACGAGATGCCTTTCCGGAAGACATGCTTTAGCCAAACACAAGTTATTGGGCTCAGTGCCTGAGTAACTGGGTGACACTTAATGGCCTTTGATATACTGGTGGTCAGACTAGATGATCTAATGGTCACTTATGACCTTAAAAAGCTGTGAGATAATATATCACTTTCCGATGCACAGGTTAATAGCATAACCCTTTTGGGGTCTGATTCTGCTCTCATATATATCAGTTTTATACTGGTGTAACTCCATTGATGTCAGTGGAGTTACTCTGATTTACACCAGTGTAAATGATCTCTGAATCAGGTTCTAGGTGCAAAGATTTACTGCTGTCCAGGGTTTTCCTTTGGCCACTCTGGGGAACGGTGGCAGGGAGAGGGGAATCTCTCTGGCTGCTGGGAGGTGGAATCCGGATGAGACTCTCATGCAAGTCCAGTCCCTCACTCTCTGTTTTTCTATACTTGGTCCTGCTGTTCTTGTCAAACCAGGAAGCTTCATGGGCATGTAGCATAGAGAAGTGGCTGGGGACAGGAGAGTGGGGACTGAAGCAGCACTGGCAAGGTGAAGAGCTGGGGAGAGCAGGCTGGGAGCGAATGAAAGGTAGGCAAGGAGCAGAAGGGTCTCTATGGTGGTGTCATTACTGAAGGTAGGTGGAGGGGACTAGAGAGATGGAAGAGGCACCACTGAAAGGAGGGGAGGGTAAAGAAAGGGTAAGAAGGGGGGGATGGAAGCAAGTCTCCTGATGACAAGAAAGGAGAGGAGGAGAGCTCTCCTGAGAAGGGAGGACAGTACAAGGAGTTCAGGATTTCAGCCAAGATCCTCTTTGACAAACAGATTCACACTGAAATCCACACACAGATATGGGATGTAGGTCAGGGTCAAATAAGGATGGAAAAGAGTAGAAGTCAGGGTCGACGCAACCCATTAGGTGACCTAGGCGATCGCCTAGGGTGCTACAATTTGGGGGGCGGCGACGGGACCTTCCGCTGCCTCTGTGGAGGGCAGCATTTCGGGGCGGGACCTTCTGCTGCCTAGGGCGGCAGAAAAGCTGGCGGCACTCCTGGTAGAAGTCAGGGCAGATTTGAAGTGTTTAATTTTCATGTTCCTCTTCAGGTTTTCCTGCAGTTTGATGCTTTTGATCTTCAGCCTTCCTCAGACTGTACCTCTGACTACATCAGAATTTATGATGGAAGCAGCAGGAATTCCAGTGTCTTACTGGACAAGTTGTGTGGGATGGGGTCCTTACCCTCATTGGTGGCTTCTAGAAACATGATGCTTGTAGAGTTTGTGAGCGATGAGGCTACTGCAGCAACAGGTTTCCAAGCCTCCTATAGCCAGGGTGCGGACAGTGCCTCATTTACAGAGCTTGGTGACATTTCTAATTTGTGCTTAGCAAATATTCATGTGCAAAACAGAACGTTTTGTGGAATTTTGCAAAATGTGTTTTTCTATATTTGAATTTTTGGTGGTAAACCCTTTTTTCCATGTTATCCCTTCCACCATCCATAAGAACTGTTCAAAGCCAGCAGCTTGTGAAGCTAGGAATGAAGAAAAAAAATAAATGAAAAATAGGACCCTATCTGGCCCTCACACCAACAGCTCTCAGGTCTCACTCATTCTTCTGAGGTCAAGGAAGCCTTGTTGGGCTAGTTGAGGTCTTTACAGCTACCTGTTTAAAAAAAAAAAGTAACTGAGCAATAGGAGTTGCTAGCCACAGAGTGAAAAATGGCTGCAGAACACTCCACTAGCCATCTGGATATCTATGCAACTTTAGATCTCATGAATGACAAGGTAGAAAGTAGGGGCCACATAGAAGGTATTTTTAACAATTGGGAGCGGGGGAAGTGAGGCAGGGGGAAAAGGGATGGCTTGGGTCTACAGGTTTCAGGCCTATCATTTTCTAGGTTGGTTCAAATCAGCTTATCTGTGGACTTACCCCCTTGTGAGGTCTGGGCTAACTACACAAACTAAGTAGGATAGGGCCCTGTTAGTATTTGGACAGGGGAGACCCTCCCCCCAAGAAACATCCAGGTGCAGCAGAAAGTGGTTTTGGTGCTTCGGCAGGTGGCCATCTGACCCCCAAGTCAATGCTGAACCAATGATTCCACACTGGTGTGATGCCAGAGGGTACTGAGGATAATTCTTTCCAATAAGATGTAAAACCGAGGTCCTGGCCACTTGGTGGTTATTGAAGGTCCCATGGCACTTTATCTAAGACAGGATACTGACCCCAGCGTCTTGGCAAGTTTCAGAGGAAGTAATTACAGGCTGCCTACTTAAACTTTTCCTGTACTTTCCCTTGGCTCTGGTAATTTTTCACTTCCTGATTTCAATGCTTCTGTGTGCGTTTGGGACCCTCCCAACTTCTCTTGAGAGGTTACTGTATTTTGGGGGGAGCAGTGGGGAAATAAACTACTTGGCGGCTATAGTTTCTCTGTCATTAGTGAAATGCTATGGAAGGAAAGTCATCAAATACAAGTAAGATCATTATTACTTATTATTACTTCAACTCCAAAATGTAACTTTGGTTTTTATGGGGAAAAAGTGGAGGACACCTCACTGTTTGACTTTTCACAAAAGGGAAAAAAAAATTAATTAATGTTGTAGCCAGCAGTTTGTTCCCTCCCACTTTCCTCCTGTTTTTGTCACTCTCCCTTGCTGTAGGACTATGATACTAGGTATAATTTTCAAAAGTAAATTTTACCCAGGATCTGATTCCTTAGCTACTTTCTTGCAATTGGAGCTGCACAGGCACCGCATAGAAAATTATTAACTCTCTACATCAAATAAGTGCTCCTGAAAGCTCATTTCCTTTTTACTGGCTATACAAATATATAAGAAACTATTTCAGACACATTTTTGGGACTAGTTTACTAGAACAAGTTACTGTCTATCTACCACAAGCCTGGTCTCAGAATCAAGCACTGGCTGAATTCTTGGTGAACAGAGAGGATGCTCTATAAGTAGAAATGTGTCATATTTACAATTCTGCTCCCTGCTGGTTGAAGAAACAAAAATTGGGAAAAAAGTGGGGATGGGCTTGGGAATGTGCCAGGGGAGGTTTGTGTGGGGCAAACCCTCCCTTGTCTACATTAAAGTTATTTAAGTTCAGACCTTTATTCAGCATTAAGTTGCAGTTTCCCCCTCTTCTCCAAAGGAGAACCAATACTATGCTCTAAGCTCCGTCAATACAAATGGAAGCACAGATGCTGGCCATAGAAAACTGAGTAGGAGACATTTTCTTTTGGCTCTAGAATAGGCCCATATTGATGTCCCTTTGGATTCTTTTTTCCTGCTCACAAGCTGTTAATAAGCTCATTAACATTATCTGTGTGGTTTCTTTTCTTCTTAGTGAAATGTGGAAGCACTTTGACGGGCACAAGTGGAGTGATCACCTCCCCAAACTACCCCAACAGGTACCCCAAAAACCAGGACTGCTTCTGGATCATCAGTGCTCCAGCAGATCGCAAGGTGAGGTGTTGAAGGGCTATTCTGCTGGCTCCAGCAATGCCTTCTGACTGCTTCTCTTTGCAGTACAGAATACCAGTTGTTCTAGCACATCCTAAGAAGCAACATCAGCTACTCAAAGAATGAAATTTACCCCTATGCACGGTGTAAATCCAACCTAAGCCTTCACAATAAAGACTTCAGTAGGTGCCATAGGCCTTATGTGATAGTTAAAGAAAACCATTTTAGCCTTGGATGTGAACTGATGGTGACGTTGTCTCATAAGTGGTAGGTTTAGCTCAAAATAATCTCTAGGGCTATGTCTACACTATGAGCTACCGATGTGATTCCTCCTGCTCCTCTACGCATATTTGCAATAGCTCTCATTGAGCTAGTGAGAGTCTGAAGAGCAGTGTAGCTGCAATAGCACAGATAACTGCGGTGGAAGCATGGCTTAGCCATGCCGAGTACATACTCACTGGTTCTGGGGGGAGGGGTGCATAATCGGAACAGCTAAGCCTTGCCTCTGCTGCCGCTACCCCTGTTGTACTGCTATTTAGACTCACCCTCGCTGATAGCTAGTGCAAGTATGTGTATGGGAGCAGGGGAATCACACCCCTAGCTTGTACTGTAGACATAGCCTAGGTGAGAGCCAGGAAGCTGAAATGCTACACTGGTATTTTGAATATTTGCTTCTAGAGATATTCAAAACTGTATCTGATGCCTTACTGCCAAAGAGAGTGAAATTAATCCTGCCACAAGACAGGAGATTACACAAATGACCCACCCTCCAAACCAAATGCCTTTTGAGTTCAAACAATTTTATAATAAAATAAATTTACATTCAGTAACACTTAAAGCCCACCCAATATCAGGGCCAGACTCCTGGGGCACTGTACAAATAGCAATGGACAGTCTAGGCCCCCAAAAATTTACAATCTAAATAGACAAGATAAAGGTTAAGGGAAAGGTTTGCAAGCAAAGTGTTCTTGTTGTATTTTCTATAGATATCTCTAACAATGGTCTCCTTTGAGCTGGAGGACATTGATGACTGTAAGTATGACTATTTGCTTATTCATGATGGGAGCCGATCCACATCTCCAGCTCTTGGCCCATACTGTGGAACAATGCAGATTGCAGACTTTACCTCCTCGGAGAACTTTGTGCTGGTAGAATTTCACAGCGATTTTGCTTGGGTGTTTCCTGGATTCATGCTGAACTACACTTTTGGTAAGTCTAATTGCAAAAATTTAGGGAGGGCTGGTGAATTTTCATGTTGATAAAAGTGTGAGACTAGTTTGTTTTGGGCTAAGTTATTATTTTACTGCTCTAAAAGTGTACATTGTGAATCACACACAAATAAAGGACAATGTCCTTGATCTTAGGCCCAGGTCCTCAAGGTATTTAGGCACTCAACTAAATACTTTTGAGGATCTGGGTCCAACAGTTTAAGGGCCCTCTCAGATATGAGCATGTAGTTATAACCTGCCCATCACCAGGGCAGGGGCATATAGTCATTTTGTTACAAAAATAAATGGCCACATTTTCAAGAGTTCAGCGTAATAGGTACTGAGCTCTATTGAAAATCTGACCCTAAGTGTCTGAGTGAGCATTTCTGTGCGCTGAGAACTTGTGAAACTATGGCTATCTTTTAGGTGTCTAAATGGAAACCAAGCTCTATTGAAAAGCTGTCCCTAGAGATGAGACCTAAGAAAGGATGATGACAAATGTTGTGGGGCAGAAGGATGTGAGATTAAAGGCTACAGCGTTAAGATTATGGCCGATTTTAAGTCTTGAAAGTCCCACCGCTTTTTTGACTGTTTGCATATGTATAAAACACACTTTATGTGAGGAGACGTTTTTGCATAGGCCAAACGAGTCCTCAGAGTGATTTAAAGCTCCTCATCTCTAATGATTAAAGTCCTAGTCCAAAACCTGTTGAAGCCAAAGGGAGCCCATTGATTTCAGTGCCTGATCCAAAACCTATTACGGATCAGATCAAACACATTTAGCTGCCTAACTCCCATTGATTTCAATGGATTAGGCACATTACCACCTTTGAGGAGAGGGACCTAAGTACATTGTGTCCACAGTGCTCTCAGCATCTTGATGGCACAGGATTAAGGAAATGAACCAGACCTTGAATTTGGATCTCCATAGGGTAGTGTACAGCACCAGCACACTATACGTCAACGCTGTATATACATGGTCTTTGCATTAACAGATGCTACAGTTGCGAATGTTCTGTAATTGCAGTTATGCCATCATGAAGGAAAACTCAAGGAAAATCTTCCCCCAGTGCCAGGAAGAAAGAAAAGAGTGCCTGGAAGGATACCGATTTACCTTGCTCTTTACCATTTGCCTGCAATATATTTTTTCAGACACTGGTTCATTTTCAACACCAGAATGAATGCTCTTCGCTAATATAGATGTGGGAATCTGAACTCTGAGACTGGTACCCAGATGGGAGGAGGTACAGAGAAATGGAACTTGGGAATACTATGTGGACACCACACATTCTCAGCTCTGGTAAGAGCCGGCTTTCCAGGAGCTGTAAAGTCTCCCCATATTGCACATGGTTGCCTCTTTGGATTTGCACCTTGGAAGGAGAATGTAACAAAATTTTAACTTTACTCATCCATGCTGTGGTCTCTCTCTGGCTTTGTCTTCACTGCTGAAAATGTGCATTTTTTTTTACCCCAGGTTAACTAATGTGTGTGAGCTATTTTAAGTAAAAATGCAATGAAGACAAGGCACTTTAGTTCTACCGCAAGGTAAACTAGGTCACGTCAACACCAGACTGGGGCATAGTGCTGAACTTGCCTAGTTTAGTTTTACTACGAGGAAAAGTGCCTGTGCTTTACCTCAGGATTGCCCACAAGTGTTAGTTACCCCAAACTCCCCCCACCCCCAAAAAACCCACCCAATGACAACAAAACCCAATTTTTTTTTCCAGATAAGACAGTTTTGGGTTACAGCACTCAGGCCACGCCTACATGGGGGCACTCCAGAAAGTTAAGGCAAATCAACTAAAAGGTATGAAGTCAATGGGCATAAATTAAAACAAATCTGTCATCTCCCTTGCCCCTATGGTTTCATTCAGGAGTAAAGTGGCCTTAGTCTGCTGTAACTTAATCCTATATATATGCAGTGTTGTAGCCATGTCAGTCCTAGGATATTAAAGTGACAAGGTGGGTGACGTAATATCTTTTATTCGACCAACTTCTGTTGGAAAGAAGAGCTCTATGTAAGCTTGTCTCTCTCACCAACAAAAGTTGGTCTAATAAAAGATATTACCTCACTCACCGAAGAAGTGGGCTGTAGTCCACGAAAGTTTATGCTCTAATAAATTTGTTAGTCTCTAAGGTGCCACAAGTACTCCTGTTCTTCTTTTCACTCACCTTGTCTCACTTAATCCTAAAGGCATTCTACTCCTGAATGAAACCACTCATGGGGGAGTGCAACTAACACACTTTAATTTATGCACTTTGGCTTCACACTTTTAGTTCATTGCCTTAACTTTCCGGAGTGTCCTTTGTAGACATGACTGGCTTAAGTCAAGACTACAGTGTCCTCTACTCACAACATCTTCACCCTTCACTCCTTGTTCATGCCTACTTGCTTCCCTATTAACAGCTAGTTAAGGTATGTAGCTGCAGTGGCTTTATCTTCAACCTACTGTCCTTTGGCCATTAACCTTCTACATATCAGAGTCACTGTGGCTGCTTTCCCAGCTTGATTTTGTATTGGAACATCTGTGCACATAGCCTACCTGCATCAGATGATAAGCTTTCTAGGGCAGAGTCTGTCTCTTCATATGCATGTATGTAGCACCCAGCACAATGGGGCCCCAATCCTGATTGTATTGCAGTAGTGCCCAAAGGCCTCAAATAAATTATCATAATGATGATCTATAACGGAAGCAATTTTTTTGAAATAATAATAATCCCTATTGGTAGATATCAAGCACTTTACAAAAGAGGTCAGTATCATTCCCCCATTTTACAGACAGGGAAACTGAGGCACAGAGCAGGGATGTGACTCGCTCAAGATTACCCACTAGTAGAGCTGGGAATGGCCCAGGAACTACAGCCTGTAGCAGATCTTTGGCTACTGGAACAGCCCATGGAAGCCTGTAGCAGGGTATACTGGCCCTCCAAGGTTATACCTTTCTCTGCTAAATTAAAGAGTCCTTTAGAACCTGGTATTTTCTACCCAGGAAGGCACTTATACTGTAATCAAGTCACCTTGATTTTCTTTTTGATAATTGAAACATATGGAGCTCTTCAAGTCTCTCACTGTAAGGCATTTTTTCCAGCCATCAAATCATTTGTGGCTCTTTTCCGTACTCTCTCTGATTTTTCAACATCCCTTTTAAAATGTTGAGACCACAACTGGATGCAGTACTCCAGGTTCAATCTCATCAATGCCTTATAAAGAGGCAAAAAATCAATTCCCTACTCACTATGCCTCTGTTTATACATCCACAGATCAAATGAAGCCCTTTTTGCCAGAGCACCACAGTGGCCACACCTGGTGAGTCCCTTGTTCACTATGACAGTTAAATCCTTTTTCAGAGTCACTGCTTTAGGATACAGTCCCCCATTCCGTAGCTCTTGCCTGCATTCCCTTGTTCCTAGATGTAGATGTTTGCATTTGTCTGTATTAAAACAGCGTTTGTTTAAGTAGGCCCAGCTTACCAATTGATCTAGATGCCACTGTATGATTGGCTTGTCCCTATCATTATTTACCACTCAGCCAATCTGTGTTGTCTGCAAGTTTTATCAGCAGTAATTTTATATTCACTTCCAGATCATTGATGGAAATGTTGAATGGCATCAGGCTACTATCAATCCCTGCAGAATTCCACTAGAAACACCCCTCTTCAGCGATGATTCCCCATTGACAACTACTTTGAGATCTGTTAGCCAATTCTTAACCCATTTAACTTGTAGTCTATTGATATTGTTGAGGGCAAATTTTTTAGTCAAAATGTCATGCAGTATTAAGTGCAATGCCCTACAAAACTCTAAGTATATTACATCTACACAATTACTTTTATCAACCACACTTGTAATCTTGCCAAAAGAACAAGGTCACATTTCTTTGAAAAAACCTCTTTTCCATAAAATCATGTTGATCGGAATATAATTAAACCCAATTCTTTATCAACTGAATCCCAAATCAGCATTTCCATTATTTTGTCCAGGACTGATGTTTGGCTAACCAGCCTATAGTTACCCTGGTGAACCTACTTGCCCTTTTTGAATATTGTTACAGCATTGGTACACTCTTTCCCCCAAATATTCCAAGATTTATTAGAATTATCATCAAAGTCAGGTATCTCAGTCAACTCTTATAGGACTCTTGGGATCAAGTTATGTGGATCAGTTGATTTAATGTTTTTTTTTAACATCTCTAGTAGATGTTGAGTAACATCCTCCTTAGCTACTAATGGACTGGAAAGTACTTCATCATCCTTATGTGATAACTACATTATCCTACTTCTTTCCAAATACAGAATATAAATATTTATGAATTTTTGTTCCTTTACTTCATCATTAACGAGATGGAAATCGTAATATTGTAATAGCCCTATAGAATTGCTAGGATTTCTTTTGTTCCTCTTATACTTAAAAGATTCCTTGTTGTCCTTCGCTCTGCTAGCCATGGATTTCCCCCTGACATCTTTAGCTTCTTTATCAATTTTCTACACAATGATTTTAAATCTACATGAATTTCTGTCTACTTCCCCTTTATTACACTTGTTAGGTATTGCTTTTTTATTTTTAATTGCTGCCTTCACTTCACCTCTGAACCAAGATGGGTTTTTAGCCAAAGTTGCCCTCTTCCTTAATTGTGGAATCATGACTTTTTGGCCATTTTAGTTCACATTTTTCTGTCTATATTTTTCCCTCTGACTCAGCTCCATTCATGATTTCCCTCAGCTTTGGGAAATTAGACCTTTGATGCAGCACATGTGTGTATGTGTAGGGCTAGTTGGATCTGTCTTTTGTTTGCCCATATTGACTATAACTGGGTCATGATCACCGATCCCCAGGCAATCACCAACTTCCATGTCTCCAGGGATTATTTTTTCTTTATCAGTCAGTGGTCCAAAAGAGAATTACCTCATGTTGAGTCAACACCTTGTGTGTTAGAAAGTCATCTATAATTTTAAAAACTCTAATAATATTTGAATTATGTTCTTTGGTGAGTGAGCCAACCTCTGAGAGGGTTTTTAAGGGACAGGGCCAAAGCAAAGTAAGTAGACTTTGAAAAGAAGCAGGGGAGGTGTCAGGCCTGGTGTCAGCTTTATTTATGTCAAGGTCCCAAACCTGGAGCTAGTGGAAGAGGGAGGACACATGTTCCCCTTTAATTCTGAGTGACCAGCAGAAAGTGTTGCTGCTACACCTGGAGAAGGGTAAAGATTGATGGACCCTCAAAAGACCCCTAAGGGAGGGTTGTGACACAGAGGAGACTGTAAAGATTTTCATATTATTTGGGACTGCAAGATGTGGAGTTGGCCGGTTTAGCCTGCTAGCTAAACCAAGCAATCAAGTCAGGAAACTGAGGCAGCAGCCACACTCCATGAAGAGAAGATGTTATGGGGCCACAAGCAGCCAGATGTAAGAGCAGCTGAGACTGCTCTGTCTGGCAATGGGGATCACCCTGCCACACAGTTGCCCTGGGCTTGGGGTAATGCAAAGGTGATTTACTGCCACCCCCAGGGTTGTACTAGGTACAGCATGTCAGAGAGTTGGCCCTATTCTCCCTGCTGGTGGCTCACCAGCTTACTTGGAGGACATCCAGCCATGTGTTTTAATCTTCCTTGGGTCTCAGCTGGCTCCACACTGTTTCCTCCCTTTGCTTCTCTGGCACTTTTCCTGGCACCAACTCAGACTATTACCTCCTCACAGAAATGGAGCCCCACAACCCATCTGCAGGATCATTGCTCCCTCCTGCTGCCAAAATACCAGAGTAGCTTAGACATAGCCTCTCCTAGAGCTCCACCCCAGAGGTGTGAGCCTTCTGGTTTGCCTCCCCAAGGGGCATCTGAGAAGATGTAACACATCAGGCACACGGACATTTTGCACAGAATTCTCACTTCATGGCTCTTAACATAGATTACAGATCATAGTACACAGACATCCTGAACACATTGGCCCCCACTCTAGCTCACTCTTCTGTGGGAAGTCCTTGGGGTACTATTTGCATTCAGGTAGGCAGGATCTTCCCCTACCTGCTCAGGATTCTGAAGCAACTTCCCTCATCCTGAGCTGGTGAAAACAGCCAGAGACACAAAAATGATCAGGTCTTGCCCTCTTATAACCTTCCAGTCCCTCTGTCAGATGACTCCCACATCTACCACTTCAGCTGATCCCAGACCCTTAGCACATGACTCTTCTCCTGGAGAGGAGCCAGCCTATTGTTTGGAGCAATTCTATTTCAGTAGGAGAGCACTTCAGTCAGTGACCCTATATTGTTATAGCCCTTTGCCACCAGCCTTTGGACTTGTCCTGTTACCTCTGCTGTGGAGGTAACAGAACAACAGAGAAGGTAGAGAGCCCTACATTCAAAATGGCATCTGCAGTTTAAGGTAAATACATATAAAGAACTCTGTAGAAAAGTGGCCTCACCACTGGTCCACCCTTTCCTACTGTGCAGAGCATGATCTCCTCTAGCACCTCCAGCCAATAGCTCCTCTAATAATCCTCTGGCTACATCAATTATAGCCCTCCCCTGCCAGAGTAACCCACCAACAAATAATTCAAAGTCCTTATTACTTACTTACTGGAGATATCCTATCTCCATCTCCTAGAACTAGAAGGGACCTTGAAAGGTCATTGAGTCCAGTCCCCTGCCTTCACTAACAGGACCAAGTACTGATTTTGCCCCAGATCCTTAAGTGGCCCCCTCAAGGATTGAACTCACAACCCTGGGTTTAGCAGGCTAATGCTCAAACCACTGAGCTATCCCTCCCAGTCCCTCACTCTGACTCCAGGCCCAAGGAGTCCTTACAGACCCTTTTTTCCAGGGTGTCATGATCTCTCCAGCTTTGCTGGCTCCACAGCCTCTCAAGGTTGACCCTCCTTTCAGGGGAGGTGCTTGCTAATTTAAACCACTTATGACCTCTTCAGGCAGGAGGTTTCATCTCTCTTAAATTTCCTCTGGGCTCTATTCCTCAGTTGACTGCCTCCTAGGGTTTTCTCCCTGCAAGTCCAGGTCCTGCCCCTTTTATCAGTGCTCTCCTCTAGAATCTGTGCCACAATGGTAACTTCTCTATGTCTTTCCTGATCTCTTGCCAGAGTTCTCTACCCAGGAGAGGATCCTCAGGCTAAGTCTCCCTCTAAACTTCCTCCAGCAGGTTTCTCCATGTGCTACTGCCAAGAGAAGGACTCAGAGATCTTTTCCCTGAAACCCTGCCTTCTGCTCCAGATTTCCTCTCCCTATAGTAACCACTCACCTGGGACTCATCTTAAATTGGGCCTGGCCCACCCTCCAGGAGTGAGCAGATGCCCTAATTGAGCTCTCCAATTGCAGTTAATTCTTTCAGAGCCTGTGTGGGGTATGTACCCCATCACAAGCCCCCAATATCAAACAGAATTCACAAGTTGTACATACAGATTCCCCAAAGTGTCATAGGCAGTCCCTATGATCTGGGTCTATATGTTTCCACAGGCTTCAACAGACTCCGACAGAGCTGAGTGCTTGGACAGTTGATAAACAAGTTCTGGGCCTTCTCTCTTGATGAACTATTGAATTCTTATTTAACATTACAGTCAGGATCAGCCAGGCCTTCAGTATTCACACTCAGGGCCTGATCTGGCATTCAGAAATGGTCTTGTCTTATTTACATTTGTGCAAAGTGGATGTAGACTGTTCCTAAATCAGAATAACTTTTCATGGGTATAAATGACTCTGCAAAGCAGCAGAAAGATGCGAAGCAGCAGAAAGTCAGGCTCTCAGTTTTTCAAGATTATGGTGCCCTGTGGCTGTGTAAATGTTTTCCGTAATATGTGACTCACAAATCTCATGAGATCTGAAATGTTCACCAGCATCCTTGTGAGGTGACTATGGGGGCAATATAACATGAAAACAGGAAAGGGTTTGTGAGATTGGACGTGCTTGTACAGGGTTTTTTGGTCTGCTGTTCATCTAAAAATGAATTGTAAGTTTGCTTGCAGCATCACAAGCAATATCTTGACTTGATTTTTCTGGTTAAGGGGCATTCTTGTCCTGTTATTTTACCTGGAGTCTACAAATCATGTCTGTGTTCATCTGCTGATTGCTGTGGCGTGTAATACTGTGAATAGCTTGTATTTTTAAATTAGAATCTTCTTTAGCTGTTGCAGTATTGGGACTTCTCACACACCTGTGACAGATATTGCAACCCCATGCAATATCTTTGGAGACCATATTGTATCACTGTGGGCCAGAAATTGTATGCTGTTCTAAGGGAGAGGTTTACCACAGCTCCTCCAGGGACCAAAAACAGTGAGGGGTGATTAAGGTGAACTACTTAGGTTGTAAACACATCCATAGAGGTACGACCCCCTGGGATGGCTTACATGTACAAGTTCAAACTGGATTTACTAGAGACCAACAGAAAAAGAAAGGGCTTTCGGTATAAAAAGGCTGCATTTAAACTAAGAGTATTCTTTTTGGTCCAGCAAGTGGACAGGACCTTCTCTCCAAGTGGGTCCCCAACCTTTGCAGAAGGGTTGGAAAGACTTTGGCCTGCTAGGGCCCCATATGACTGATGGGTGACACCTGGTATGGTTAGTGTGTGATTAAATCGGTTTGTTGTTTTTATTATGTTTTCTCTGTAATGCTTTTAACATAAAAATAAATGGGCTTGCTTAGAAAGAGCTATGTGTTAACTTGTAGTTGCTAGCGATGCACTGCTCACAGCCTTGGGGAGAGACAGCAATGCACAGGCACTGGCCATTAGATAGACTGGCTTGCTGGGGATATCACAGGGTAAGGGCAGGGAGATGTGCAGCCTTAAAATCCCTGGGCAGAAGGGAGTGGGACAAGAGTCCCTGCCCACAGATAGGTGATGGCTGGAAACCTAAGACCTGACTGGGAACTCCTGGAATGGACCAGGGAATGGGGGATATAGGTGTAGTTACCCTGAAACTGTGACAACACCATAGAGCAGTTCTAATTCCATCCAATAGAGGACAGGAATAACAAATACTGTGGCCATTATATACATAAAAATGTCATTTCTACACTGTCTGGCAGGATGTGATCATGGGTTTGAGGTGCTTTATATACTTTATAGTGAGCATAAAAAAATGTAATAGGAATAGATAGTTTCTATTAAACGTTAAAGGAAGAGAGATCCAAATAAGGCATATAATGAACCCCAATATCTTAACTCTGGATTTACAAACATCATCTCTATTGTAAAAAACCCAGATAATTTCTATATACGGAAGCACAGAGGCGAAAAGAGGTCCATTAAAACACTACAGAACCCAAACTAGAAATTAATGCAATGAGTGCCAAAAAATAAAAAAGTCCAAGAAAGGGAGAAGGTTTGTTTTTTTTTTAATGAAGATTTTATTAAAATGCTGTTAGTTAAATAAAGAGACAATAACTTAACTGTGCAGACAATAAGATTATATACCCTTGTCGAGGGCAGATATCATATGACACGAGGGGGTGGCATAGGGTACATAGAACTCCCATTTATACCTGAATCAGGGAGCACACTTGGTACAGAATCTGGAGACTTTGATTCATAACAGAATTAAAATTTCCTTTTGATCATAGCAAGAAAAGGAAGCAAAGTAGAAAAAGCATAATTTAGATTTTCACAGAATAGGCTCTTCCCTTTTGTCTCATATGCTGATCCTCTCACGTGGTGCGTGGTGTCTTTACTGTTAAAAAAAAGAGAGAGAGAGAATATTTAGCTTGCAATACTATCTTGCTGTGTGAACATTGGTTTCTGTGAACTATATGAATACTGGAATGTCTGACCATGCTCTGTTTTACAGTCAGGACACTTGTGCATCTCTCTACAGTAATTGATATGTAGTCCCGCAAGCTGACACACAAATCCGGCATGGAGAATTAGCATACTTTCCCCTCCATACATGTCTATAACCACCATTAATGTGAATGGATGTTACACAGGGACATCAGAATCCAAAGCTTAGTGATTAGATAAGTGGTCCTGAGAAAAATGTCTCTTTGGGGAATGAATTCTAAAGATCTTTACCTGGTAGAAAGAATTATTGGTCAGAAATATTGCCTGTTATTATGTGACTTCTTTCCCAAGTAATCTGCCTCTGTCTGATTCTATCTGGTCCCTCTGAATTGTAGGCTTGTGAGCTGCATCCATCACAGAGGAGCCACATTTTTATACATAACAATGATTTATCTTGTGTAATAAAATAATATATCAGACAAACTGTATTATTGTGCTGTTATTTAACACATATTTTTGATCCTCTCAGCTGGCTAATGTAATACAATTTTCATTAGGAGGGTTACAGTCTTAGGGGATATCTTCAGAAGCATTCTCCATTGTCCTCTGCTCCCACTGAAGTCTATGAAGCGAGTTTTACCCACTGACTCCAATGGGAGCAGTGGTAGGCCAACACCGAGTGCTTTTGAAATTCTGCCCTTCGCAATACATTAGGCAAACGTGATCCAAATTTTACTTAAAATTCATCTGTGATCCGTTGTGGTAAAATTCAGATGATCATATTCCAGTGGGCACAAGTTTTATTCGAGTCATAAAAAGAGATTTGCAATGGCATAAATCTGAGAGATGATTCAAACTGTAGAGTCTGGGAACCACATCACACTGATGACCTCGTTAGTGTTAGTGAATGTGCCCCATTTACTGAAATTAGTTACAGAATCATAACAAGACTGAGCTGCTATATCCGCAAAGCAAGATGAGGGATGATGGTAAAGCTAAAAGACTTTTGATTTTACATTGTTTACGTCTGATTCTCTGCCATTCTTCCTGGGCTTGGACCTACCAGAGGTGTAGGAGATCTTGAAGCCAGTGGCTGCACCAGTGCCATCCCTGACAAACTCCACAAGCATAGTTCTACCAGACGCTGTTACGGTTGGGGGACTCTTTGTCCCACAAGTCTTGTCCAGTAGAACCTCAGAAGACTGGCTGACCCCATCATATATTTTAACATATTCAGTTTTACAGTCTGTGGAGGACTTCAGACTAAAAGCATCAAACTGCAGAGAAACCTGAAAGAGAAGAGGAAACAAACCTTTTAATACCCACCAGCCTAATTCATTTCAGGCAGGTTCCGTTAGATCAGAGTGAGTCAAAACTAGATATGAGCCCGAACTGGAACTAGTTATCCAGCCTCTTCTCCCATACCCTGAAAGTTCAGATAAAATAGAATCTGAATGTGAATTGCCACTTCCAATGGTTTTGCAAAGGTCCAACCAATGAAGTTTTCCAAAATCAAAACTACTCCTGTCTTTTCCCATCCGTAGTTTAAGCATGTGAATATGAATGTTATAAATTAGAGAAAGAAAATATCTATTATGTTAGCTGCATATCCCAAGGAAGGAACTTAATTTGAAATTTGTTTTATGTCCGTATGTGGAAACTGGAGTGTAGCAAGCACAGCAAAATGCATAATCACACAGATATC